AAGTATTGAAAGTGAATTTGTAAAATCTCTAGACTTTGAAGATGTGATCCAAAATTTTGCAAATGAAAAAGCTAGAAAAAAAGAATTATGTTTTGATGAAGGGGATAAACAATTAAATAGTTGCGACGATGACAGTGACTAATATTATAATAATTTATGTATTTACTTATAATTANCTAATTTTATAATAATTTATGTATTTACTTATAATTTAAAAATTTGCTTATAAAGTAAAAATTTTCAATTTAACATGGTTTTGTATTAAATCTTATTTATAAAATAATGAATGTATAATATTACATAACATTTTGTTGTTTGTAGTATTCACTTCCCCCTAAATTTGGAGAAAGACTATATATAACAGAAAACAAAAATACAGTAGAACTCCAATTATCCGAATTAATGGGGACCGGGACCCATTCGGATAATCAAATATTCGGATAATCGGAGTTTTTTTTTTAAAAAATTGCCATTGGAGAGAAAAAAAGCTACGTTTTGATATTGCACTATTTTTTTATTGAATTAAATGAAAGAAACATGATATTTTCACATGTTTTAAATATAAATAAAATGTACTTACAAGTTTAGAAATAAAAATCATTGTTTTTTAAACATCTCCGTCAATGTAAGCTGTTTTGCGGTCTTCATCCGTTTTCGGGCAGCCAGGTCACGCATTCGCTTGACGGTGAGCAGTTGCAAGTGGTCACACTCGGGCTGACGCTCCATCCACTTCAAAGCAGTCTCGAGGCCGGCAAATGCTTCACTAGCTGATGGTCCAGCGTCTACTTCAACATCAGCAGAAAGTTCTTCTTCCACTTCCACTTCAACATCTTCTCTCACACTTTCAACAATTTCATCGTCATTGAGAATTTGAAAACCAGGGTCAGACGTGTCACAAGCCATCCACTCTCCTACATCTTCAGCACTTACTTCTGTACAACCAGGAATTTTTACAATCATTTTTCTTATTTCCTTATTTCCTCTAGTGGCAACGGATCTTCATCATCTTCATCCTCTCTGNTGCAAAAACCATTTAAACACGGCATCTTCCAAATTTTTGTTGGTTGCTGTCTTCATTGTTTTCCTGGAGGAACTTCCATCTTCATTTTCAAGCACCGAAACAAAGTTTAAAAGTGTTGACTTACTGTTTTTAATGTCACAAATTGTTGCTTGTCCAACACCATAAATTTCAGACAACTTCTTACCCGTTACACCTTTATCGAGTTGCTCTATAATTTTCAGTTTGTCCGCTAACGATAGCACAACACGTTTTCTTTTCGAAGCCATGGTAAAAAACAATACAGTACACGCACAAACAAAAGTAAGCCGTAGCGAAAGAGTAGCGTTCTCGAGCAAGGTCAATTTAGCACACTGACTAATCAAAACAAACAATGACAGGTGACTGCAATGTGCCGGAACTGGAGTAGGAACTCTTACCACGTGTTGTGCCTACACTGACGCCGCGGACTTTGGATAAATTATTTTCTGATTTTTTCTGAAAGTGATTCGGATAATCGGCGATTCGGATGGTCGGAGTTCGGATAATTGGAGTTCTACTGTATTCATATATTTTACTCATGTTACTTATATTTATAAGGTAATAATTAGAATCATCTGAATCATCTGCTTACGGCCCCCAAAGTACTTAATCCGGCTCTGACCGAACCGATTTCTTTTAATGATACGTTAAAAGATCACAAATCGTATCTAGTCGAAGACATTACCCTCAAAAATTGAAAAAATTTCCCTCGTTCCCCGTAAATGGGGGAAACCTCCAAAAAAATTACAAATTTAAAAATCGTTAATTTTCGAAATTTTTTTAAATTAAAATTACTATTACTTTTTTAAAAATAACTGAATCAATATAATTCTTTTTTTATAGATGCAAGATGTCTTTACCTATCATTTGGTATATTTTTTTATACTATACATTAGTACTGTTATATATATATATTTTATTATTATATATATACTTTACTTTATTTTATACTATTTTTTTATATTATATTGATTTGGTTTTTTTTTTAAAAGTTATGGCAATTTTAAGTAAAAAAAATTGAAAAAATTTCGAAAATTAGCGTTTTTTAAATTTGTAATTTTTTTGGAGGTTTCCCCCCTTTAAGGGGAACGAGGGAATTTTTTCTATTTTTGAGGGTAATGTCTTCGACTAGATACGATTTGTGATCTTTTGACGTATTATTGAAAGAAATCGGTTCGGTGAGAGCTGAGAAAAACTGGTAACAGACACAAAAAAAAAAAAATAAATAAACACATGTTAGTAAAACCAATACCTTCTCAGCTTTGCATCGAAGCTAAAATAATTTCGAATTTTATTTTATCTTCACGGTGAAAATGGCTACCGAATGCTATTTTTGTGTGAAAATTCTCGATTTTATTTTATTTTTTACTTTATAATGCTATAACATTAAAAAGTGTATGGATCAACATAATTTTTTTATGAGAAATAATATTTTTTAATAAACCCTTTTTCATTCGACATACTTTATCTTAATCGAGATATTAATAAGGAACCACCAGATCATGTAGCTTTTGAAATAAAACACCAACTTTTTTAAAATTTAACACTATCTAAAGATTTGCATCGAAGCGTTTTTTTTTTTATAGTGATTTTAATCACTGTCAGATATCATTATACTTAATCCAACTATGCCACGTCACCACTGTGCTGGGTTTTTTTTTTTATTTTTTATTTTTTTTTACCAGAGATCCGAAATAGGGTTGTAAGATGGCAATTGAATATAATAATTGTAGTACGATAAATTCTTATTCAGAGTTTATAATTTCAATTTCCTTTAATTAT